AGGATGAATGGTAGACTTATAAATATGTAAGATAGATTCTTCTTTAGATTTTAAGAATCTCTAAATATATAGCAGAAGCACCAGACCAGATGTGGCAGCAATATTCAAAGCAAGGATGAATGGTAGACTTATAAATATGTAAGATAGATTCTCCTTTGGATTTTATCAAGAATCTCTAAATATATAGCAGAAGCACCAGACCAGATGAGGTAGCAATATTCAAAGCAAGGATGAATGGTAGACTTATAAATATGTAAGATAGATTCTTCTTTGGATTTTATCAAGAATCTCTAAATATATAGCAGAAGCACCAGACCAGATGAGGCAGCAATATTCAAAGCAGGGATGAATGGTAGACTTATAAATATGTAAGATAGATTCTTCTTTGGATTTTATCAAGAATCTCTAAATATATAGCAGAAGCACCAGACCAGATGTGGCAGCAATATTCAAAGCAAGGATGAATGGTAGACTTATAAATATGGAAGATAGATTCTCCTTTGTATTTTATCAAGAATCTCTAAATATATAGCAGAAGCACCAGACCAGATGAGGTAGCAATATTCAAAGCAAGGATGAATGGTAGACTTATAAATATGTAAGATAGATTCTTGAGAGAAATTTCCTAGCACACTACAGTGAACCAACTTTCTTAGCAGTAAGTAAAAAAAAAGAATTATATTAAGAACAAATAATGTAAGGCAAAATTGAATAGTTTTTTTTGAAAAAACACTTTTACGATTTTTGACACTTCTTGCGGGGTTTGCAGAAAAATTGTCTAAAAAACGTTTTACTTAAGACTAGTTAATCTTTATAAAATTCTTTTCTATTTGTGCCAGAATCCTTATCTTGGTTGTTTTACTCTCAAAATTTGTCTGAATCTCCAAGATGAGGAATTATTATATACCTTGCTATTCAAACTAAAATTCTCATCTTGGTTGTAAAACTCTAAGCATTTGTCAGCATCTTTGAGGTGAAGAATTACCATTATTATTTGCTTTGTTATTTCTTGATTGAATAAAGGGCTTGGTTGAAAATTCCCTAAAGTTTATCAGGTACAAAGACAAACACCTGGAAAAGGCTGGGGAGGTGATGAAATGGCTAAATCATTGTTTGTATAACAACCAAGATGAGGATATTGGTCCGAAAGCATAGAATAATAATTCCTCACCTCAAAGATTCCACCATAAATAATATCTCCTTAATTCTAAGATTTGAAATATTTCTGGCAATATTTCTCATACCTGTGAAAAGAAAACTCTTCGGGCTTTTGTCTCTGGTTTGAAGACAATAACCAAATTTCCAGCTGAGTTAGCAAAATTGGTGGGTAAGACGTTGGCTTGGTCTGTGGTTATTGTTACCAAAAGTAGCGCCAAAGAGCTAAAAGCATCCTGCAAGTAAAACAGTTCCATACTTCAAAATCAACATGAGTCCAATACCTTGATAAAACAAAACACCAACTAAAAAGGAATGAAGATACGTTAGAGTGGTGGGAAAAACTGAAGCCAAGATGCCAGGTGAGGGCAGATAACATTGCATATTCTTTTTGGATTAGTAATCCTGTTTATCTTAGCAGTTTTCTGTACAGCTCCTTGTTTATTTTGTACTTTTTTCATGATACACCAAATATACTGCCTTACTATACCGTTTATTGTAATCATGGGTGATGTCATCAAATGGTTATTGTTATCAAGCTCTGTCAGTCCTAAATATTTTCTTTACAATTAATTAAAACTCATCCACTTATTACAATAATTGTTCTAGGTATCTTATGGAGGAACGGTGGAGTAATGGATTGTGGCTTGGATTGAGGAATCGTAAAGCCGAGTTCAAATTCAACTTTGTTATATTCATCTACATGCAAAGATATAAATCCATCTCTTTACCCCCCCCCAGCTATGGCGGTGGAGAAATATAGTAATTATATATATATAGTAATAGCAGAATAGACTCAGTCCTATAGTGTTGAGTGGCAACTGATCTTGGAGAAAGAAAAACTCTGAATTCATGTAGCCCTGGCGTAGCACATACAATGCAGCTATGGGAAGGATCATTCACATTGACTCGATATTCCCGACTATTGACCTAGGAACTAAATACCCTTGGAAAAGGTATAAATCCAACTCTTCCTCCCACCCCCACCCAGCTATGGGTAAATAGTAGTACAGACTGGGTTCTATAGACTTGGTTGGCAACCAGTCTAGGAGAAGGAAAACTCTGAATTTAAAAACGTCCAATTATGGGTTAATTTGTTAGTACAGTGTAACCCGGTTATAAGAGAAACCCGGATATAAGAGAGATTTTCACTGGTCCCAAATTAGAGCCTGTGTTAATGTATATAAAATAGACCAAACCCGGATATAAGAGAAACCCGGATATAAGAGACTTCTTCTCCGGTCCTGACAACTCTCTTATATCCGGGTTACACTGTAGTACAACTACACTCCTAAGGACATGGTCAGTCGGGGAAGGTTTCCTCCAACAGGGATGAGAGCCCTTTAAATTTGGCAATTGATAATTTAAATTTGCTTCATTTTTTTTTTATTTAAATAAAAGTTTTTTATCAAATTAGTATAGGTGATAAGGAAATTTTAGTGTCAGAAAAAAAGGAAAATTGAACATAGAAAATAGGCTGTAATTTTTTAAAGGATTTTTTTACCCAACATTATTTCTTATTACAAAGCTATCCCCATATTTTTTTTATTCTATTAAACAGTGGAATTAATAACAGAAATTAAGAAGAAAAACTCTGCCCCTGCCAGGAACAGAGCCTACCTCCCTTCTTTTTCTTCTTAAGCAGATGTGTGATTCTAGCAAAATCGACCATGGAGCCAACTGAAAGGACAAAGTCGGAATTACATGTGTATAAAAAATAGTTTCTCTCAACGCCACCAATTACTAAAAATATATCTGTAACGATTTCCGTCATTTATTTGTTCTAATTAAATAATGTCTCGTCTCTTTAGATTTCTGTAAATCTTTTTCTGGTTAAGTATAAAGTAGTTGAAATAGTTACAATTCATCAGGCAAAGCTGGAAATTGGGATTTCTCAAGGGAGGTAATTTTGTCATTTTTTTTTCCTAATTGTTGCCTCCCTTTGTTCAGCAAATTCTTTTTACATCATTAAGTGTTTCTCAACCGGTTCGCCCGTACCCACTATCTATCTCAATCTGTTCATGTCTCTCTCTCTCTCTCTCTCTCTCTATATATATATATATATATATATATATATATATATAGGTGTTAAATTTCATTCTTTCAATCTCAGTCTGTTCATGTCAAACTAACTATCTATCTATCTCAGACTGTTCATTATTATATCTTATCTATCTATCTCAGACTGTATCTATTATCTATCTATATCTATCTATCTATCTATCTCAGACTGTTCATTATCTATCTTATCTATCTATCTCAGACTGTTCATTATCTATCTATCTATCTATCTATCTATCTCAGACTGTTCATTATCTATCTATCTATCTATCTATCTATCTCAGACTGTTCATTATCTATCTATCTATCTATCTATCTCAGACTGTTCATTATCTATCTATCTATCTATCTAGACTGTTATCTATCTATCTATCTTCTATCTATCTATCTATCTATCTCAGACTGTTCATTATCTATCTATCTATCTATCTCAGACTGTTCATTATCTATCTATCTATCTATCTATCTATCTATCTCAGACTGTTCATTATCTATCTATCTATCTATCTCAGACTGTTCATTATCTATCTATCTATCTATCTATCTATTTATCTATCTATCTCAGACTGTTCATTATCTATCTATATATCTATCTATCTATCTATCTATCTATCTCATATCTGTTTCATATCTATCTATATATCTATCTATCTATCTATCTATCTATCTATCAAGTTATGTTCATATCTATCTATCTATCTATCTATCTATCTCAGTCTGTTCATATCTATCTATCTATCTCAGTCTGTTCATATCTATCTATCTATCTATCTATCTATCTATCTCAGTCTGTTCATATCTATCTATCTATCTATCTATCTATCTATCTCAGTCTGTTCATATCTATCTATCTATCTATCTATCTCAGTCTGTTCATATCTATCTATCTATCTCAGTCTGTTCATATCTATCTATCTATCTATCTATCTATCTATGTTTCCCTGAATCTATATTCATGGTTCAAATTTGTCAGAGGTTGTTATACTCAATTACCAAACGGATCAGGTGTATATAGATAAATATCTACTTATACAAGATGTGCAAAAGTAGGTATACAGTAATGTAAAACAACATGTGTGCATTAAACTTATTGTATTGATTATGCAAACATCTCAATAATAAACATATCGATCCCTCAAATGTTCAAATTGTTTGCCCCTGTTTAAAACATTTGTCTATAGGAGCATTTCTCAACAATTGTGTCTGGATGCACTAATGTGCCGTGAAAGGTAGCCAGCTGCCTCTGCCAACTTAACAGAAGAGTAATTTATGATATTTTAAACTGGATGCCAAAATCTTTAATCTTTAAGGAATGGATAATCCTTTCCCTTTTTCAAGGGATTTGAATCAGACATTACGGCCTTTCTAAGAAAAAAGGGGGATCATGTCTCTTTCAATTCAGGACTGACTAGGCAGGAAATTTTCCCGCAGTAGGTTGCTATTTTTTTGTGTGATAGACTGGTTGTCAACCAAGGCTATATAACCTGGTCTGCCTTGCTATTTATCTCACAGCTGGTGGCGGGGTGTATAGAGAAGGATTCATAAGTGTATTTGCACATAAGTTAAATGCAACAAACCTGACTGGAATTTGAACTCGGATCTTCTATTTCTCATTCTGAGCTGTTATCTATTGCACCACTTGCACATCGTCATTGTCTTCAAAAAAATTTTAACAGTCCCAAAATATTTACTGGCAGCTTTAAATAACCAGCAAAAGGTTGATAAGCCATAAAAAAACAAATCAATCAAACTAAGATTTTATCATCCCTAGGACAACATTAATTTTAAGCTCTTTGACTAGATAGATAGATAATGAAGTGAATTAGATAGATAGATAGATAGATAGATAGATAGATAATGAACTTAATGAGATAGATAAATAATGAAGTGAATGAGATAGATAGATAGATAGATAATGAACTTAATGAGATAGATAAATAATGAAGTGAATGAGATAGATAGAAAAGAATAATGAGAATGAATGATAGATAGATAATGAATGAATATTTAATAGATAGATAGATAGAGAATGAATGAATGAAATAGATAGATAGATAATGAGATGAATGAAGATAGATAATGAAGATGAATGAGAATGAGATAGATAGATAGATAGATAGAGAATGAAGTGAATGAGATAGATAGATAGAGAATGAAGTGAATGAGATAGATAGATAGAGAATGAAGTGAATGAGATAGATAGATAGATAATGAACTGAATGAGATAGATAGATAGATAGAGAATGAAGTGAATGAGATAGATAGATAGATAATGAACTGAATGAGATAGATAGATAGAAAGATAGATAGAGAATGAAGTGAATGAGATAGATAGATAGATAGAGAATGAAGTGAATGAGATAGATAGATAGATAGAGAATGAAGTGAATGAGATAGATAGATAGAGAATGAAGTGAATGAGATAGATAGATAGATAGATTGATTAGAGAGAAAGTAGTGATTTGAGATAGATAGATAGATAGATTGATAATGAAGATAAAATGAGATAGATAGATAGATAGATAGAATGAGAATGAAGTGAATGAGATAGATGGATGGATAGATGGATAGATAGAGAATGAAGAGAATGAGGATAGATAGATAGATAGAGAATGAAGTGAATGAGATAGATAGATAGATGAGAGATAGATGAATAGATAGATGAATGAATGAATGAGATAGATAGATAGATAGATAGATAGATAGATAGAGAATGAAGTGAATGAGGTAGATAGATAGATAGAGAATGAAGTGAATGAGATAGATAGATAGATAGATAGAGAATGAAGTGAATGAGATAGATAGATAGATAGATAGATAGAGAATGAAGTGAATGAGATAGATAGATAGATAGATAGATAGATAGAGAATGAAGTGAATGAGATAGATAGATAGATAGAGAATGAAGTGAATGAGATAGATAGATAGATAATGAAGTGAATGAGATAGATAGATAATGAACTGAATGAGATAGATAGATAGATAGATAGAGAATGAAGTGAATGAGATAGATAGATATTGAAGTGAATGAGATACATAGATAGATAGATAATGAACTGAATTAGATAGTAGATAGATAATGAAGTGAATGAGATAGATATGTACAGCCTTTATTGGTTCCAGTCAAGATGTATATTTTGTTTGTATTTCTTGGCCCCTTAGAAAGGGGTAAGGGGATGAAAATAAGAGCACTCATCCCTTTGATTGAAGGGGAGGGGTGTTGGTTCCAGTCACTATAGGAATATCTGCAAAACACCCCCCCACTCCTGAATTTATAGACAAATCACACAGATGCAGGCTGGGATTTTCCCTAACCAATAAGATTAGGTCACTTCTTGGTCTCATCCGACTCAGTTCTGGTCTTTCTTGTCTTGAAACCAGAATGCTGCAGTTGCTTATCTGTATCTGCTTTTGAGTGTCAACACCATTCTTAGTTTGTGAACTTTTTGCCTTATTACTTTTTGCATATATCGTTTGCTTGGGCGTAAAAGCAGTAAAAGTGGGACTAGTTAAGCTTCTACTAATAAGAACAATTGGAGCAGCATTTTTCAAACTTTTTTATTTTACTATGACCCACAGCAAGAATCACATTTTGTTTTGCAATCCATTATACCTACGTGTAATAAATCAAAGACAAACTCTGTACACTAGGTTCATTTATTTAGCATTAACAGTTTTTATATATATATATATATATATATATATATATATATTCATGAATCATTCATACAAAAAACAAATATAGAGGTTAATGATTTAAATGACGAGAATACATCATCGCAAACAATATAAATAAGATACATCAACCCCGAACCTGTATATGAATGATATGATCCCTGTTTATAAATTCCAGTTGCATAAGGTCTTTTTAATTTTTTACAAGCTTTCATCTGTTCCTACAGACATCATCAGGTATGGAAGTAGATTTTGTTCTTGTTTGTACTTCTCAGTAATAAGAGGACAATGAAAATTGAGATGTAATCCGAAAAAATGCTATGAGAAATGTGTTATTGTTTTGGAACATGCAGTCGCAACGCTGAGTTTGAATTTAAATTTTAAGGTTGTGCGGTTTTGTACAAATATAGCAATAAGAGAATTCTTTTTTACTGGTAGATTTTCTGTGAATATGGCAGTGAACTATATTGTTCAATAATTACAGTAATGTCACACTTATCCGAGAGTTGCACGTTGGATCAGTTATTTTAATTTCAATTAAAAGGTGCAATTATAATTTACAAATTCATGAATCATTCATACAAAAAACAGGGATCATATCATTCATATACAGGTTCAGGGTTGATGTATCTTATTTATATTGTTAAGAATACGATGTATTCTCGCCATTTAAATCATTAACCTCTATATTTGTTTTTTGTATGAATGATTCATGAATTTATAAATTATAATTTCACCTTTTAATTGAAATAAATATATATATATATATTTCTTATGATATGTTGGAATTGCATGTATCTATTTATATAAAAATACAAATCAAATTAAAATGGAAAAGAAAAACTGGGAAGGATAAAGAATAGTGCAATAAAATCTGTTTTTCCATAAACATTTTACTAAAGTCATTTCTCTTGAGATGTCTATGATAGTAACCAACACAAGAAATGCATAAAACCGAATAATTTTCTTTTTTGTGAAATGCTTAAATATAGGGAAAATTGGTAAAACTGATTTAGAACCTCTTTTTCTTAAATATAAAAAATGCATTAAGATTTAAGGTTTTCTCCTTTGCCATGTTGGACTTTTATCATTCTAGGACAGTGTTTTTCAAATTTTATTTTTATTAAACTGGAACCCACAGCAAGAACCACATTTTGCACTGCGACACATTATACCAATGTGTAATAAATCAAGGAGAAACTCTGTTCACGAGGTTCGTTTATTTAGCATCGACAATTTACATGTATTATTTATGATCACACATATTGGAATTGCATGTACTGTCACTGGTCTTTGGGCCATTATTCGGTGACCATCCTGGTCCACACTTTGCTCCATCCATGTTGTGTTTCTTGATCACAGAGCAGTGGAGATCAAATATCGTCAGTAATCGTAGTGCTGGTTTGAGCCATGGTGAAGCTGTGTTATGAAGGGAAAAAAAATGAAATGTTCTCAGAGATGAAATAAAAATGAAAGATTCTTCAGATCAATTTTCAATTTGGTTTATGTAGTTCTTTGTATAACAACTTTAACCCTTCCTGCTAAAATCTCTATAGGGACACTGTTGTGGAGTGATTTCACAGTGGAGGCTTATATTTGTACTAAGTCGGTCCTAAAATAGAGAACATACAAAATGTTAGGAACTTGATATAACAGGCATATTATCAGAGTAATCTAGTTGTGGTCCCTGATACTTTTGTATTCGACTAACTGTCGTCCGACATCGACTGACCAACTCACCAACCCCCGTTTCTATTACTACTCCTACATATATTAGGTGGGAGAGTCTATTAACTATAGAGTAGGTGTGTTTCACCATAACAGACTGTTTGTGGTAATTCTTGGATAAGGTCTCAAAACAGACAAAAGTGCTGTTTGAAATCCACATGACTTTTGCAAAAGAACCCCTTCATCTGCTCTTCACCACTTTTTTTCATCTTTTCCCTGGTTTATTTTTAAGCACTCTGCTTATATTGACTTCAACCCAAGACTGAAATATTGACAGTATTTGATTTTTTTTTGATTCCCCAGGTTTCTTTATCAATTTGAACAAGAGTTCTTTGTTGTCTGGTTCACAATATTAATTATGTTTCCAAATTTGGGAGAACTATTTGCCCTACTGGTGGTGGTTGATGCCCTTATAACTCATTCTTTCTCTTATTTATGCTTCACACCATTACTTCCAAATCGGTGGAGGTAATTTCTCCTTACTCCTCCATTTAGTATTTCATCTAAGCCTAACACTTCAGCAGTCTCTTTGACAAATCTGATTTTTAAACTGAGAGGGAAGAAGGGAGGTTCTTATTTTTAATCATTAATTGTAACTATCTTAATTTTCAATAACTTTCTCAGTCCCCTGTCCTGTTTATTTAAGCAGACATTTACCAGATGTTCCACTATTAGCAAAATTTGTCTTCATATTTTTTTACTTAATCATATTCATGAACCCTACAGGTCCATTTCGTATTTCAATTTTTGAAGTGAAGAATAAAACCCTATTTCTCAATTTGTTTACATTTCTAAAATCGGTGAAGCTATTTCTGGTCTTTGACAGGCAGATATAAATCAGTTTCTCGATTCTATAAAATCTTCAAAATTACCAATTATTATAACTCAGTTCACCCCTTCTTCTGTCTGGTAATCATGAGACATGTTTTGTAACTTCCATTTTAATTAAGCAGACATAAATCAATTTCTGCTTCCATTTCCAAAATTCTCAACTAACCTTGAATGTATTTTTTTCCTATTCCTTGTCAGACATTGTGGGTTGACGCCTTCCACATGGTTTCTGATAATATCTTTTTCCCAAAACCAATAAAGTCATTCTTTTCAGGTCTGTATTTTCTTAAAAGCTAGATTTTCAATAGGAAATCATTTCTTTCCTTCTTTCTTTTTATATATGATTCTGTATTTTTAAACCTCCCCATCTGTTCCAGTTCATATTTTGAATGAACCCTTTTCCCTTTACCAGTATCACACATGTATCTATTTGTATGAATATAAAATTATTACTTTTAGAAAAACAAATTTAAAGGAAATTTTGACACAAAAATGAAGTAAATAATATTTGAAAAAAATGTGATTTAATGAGATGGATGTGCTTGCTTGTTTATAAACAGTTTATTCCAGTTGGGAACACCGGAAGACAATGCTACACACATATCAGGTGCAGTGTTGAGCCTGTCTCTGTTCTTTGTCTTAAATTGAATTAATGTGGAAAATCCCAGTTCACACAAGTAGCTGTAAAAGCAACACCTTCGTAGCTAAGTTTTGGTGCGGGGTCTCTTTGTGAGAGAGAACTGATGTCACTCAGTCCACAAGTTTGATAAACAAGATACATAAACTCAATGAGAACAGACTATATATATATATATATATATATATATATATATATATATAATGTATATGTGTGTGTGTGTGTGTGTGTGTGTGTGTAACGAATGCATGGCCGCAATTTTTGACGGATTTGCACCAAAATTTACATGCACATGCTCCAAGTTAGCAGGAAGGCCAAGATCGACTTTGCATTTCCCAACTTCCATCAATAGAGGAAATAATCAATTTTTTCATGCTATGGCTTCTATGGCAGTTTTCATATAGTTTGCAGTCATTTTCTCCTGGCCAGCGTGAGAGCCAATAGCTGGCTGCCACGAATAGGCAGGAAGATTCTATTGACCAGCGTGAGAGCCAACAGCTGACTGACATGAATGTTAACTAGCATGCTAGCATGCAAAAAAAATCAATAGCTGCATTCGTCACAAGTGGGGAAAAATTTAAATCTGCATGGCACTTTACTCCAATTGGCTCATTCGCTTGCTTAAACTCAACGTTGATTCTGATTCTGCAGAACTGGGTTGGATGTGAAAAAGTATTTGTTGTTAACATTCTTTTTTCATTCAGTTTTTCCAATTACGAGTCCTTTTTTAAAGCTGATTGTTTTGTGTTCATTTTGTTTAGTTCTTTTTTCGTAACAGATTTAATGTTTAGTATAGAGCTTAGAAAAAATTTGCAGTGTGAGATAGGCAAGAATTAAGGATTGTAGCAACATCAGCATGGCAAAGAGCACTCCTTTAAAGGCAAGGAAGGGCAAAAGTATTTTAAGTCTAGTGATAGCGATTGCTGTATGAGTCGTACAATTTTTTAATCAAGCACGGGCAACTTCGGGCCATGCTGCTAGTATATATATATATATATATATATAATTATATTTAAAAAATAAAATATAATACAGGCTTATCTCGATGAAAAAGTAGTGATGCTTTATGAGTGCCATGCAACATTTAGAGTTGTTTATATTCTGCACTTTGCTCTCCTTTGGGTATTTTCTTTCTTTCTTTCTTTCTTTCTTTTTTGTCATGACCCATTTTATTTATCTTGCCACTGAAGGGTCAGGACCAACTGTTTGAAAAACCCTGATATAGTTTACACCCAACATGAAGAATTAACAGGAAAAGGAATATCAATTGACATTGGCTCAGTTAAGGACTTATAGACAATTTATCTTAAGTCAGACAATGTGTTTAATGGTACACTGGAAAATTAGCACTTGGATGGTAATGAAGTCTGTAAATTGAAACTACACTCTGCTACTAATGTTGATTAACACTTGATATTATTTTTGCCCTGTTCTTTTCATTCTCTTGTCATTGTTTATTGCAAACTTTGCCAATTCTGTTTGTTGAGCAATTATATTTGACTATAGCCAATTACTCTACTGATTAAAAAGAGAATACAAGGTTATTTCCTGTTGAAAGGCAAATTTTCTTTAATAAGACTTTCAATTTCTAGGCCGGTAGATATTAATTTCACCGTCTCAGAAACAGATGTCTACTTGAATGTGTGTACCGACTAAATATAATGCTTATATTAAGAAATAATGTTGGCAAAAAAAATCCGTTATTTTCTTAAAAGAATATTATTAATTTAATATTAGAATTATTTTCTTAATAAAATATTTTCTTGTTTAAGTTTCAGGTATAAAAGTAAACTTAGCTAATATAGATATTGAAAGGTCCCAATAAGTATAAAGTTGGATTAAAAAATATAACAAAAACATTCAAACTAAAAATAAGATATGTTAGTAGGACCTGTCCAACCCACAAAAATAAGAGCGGCCACTGTATTCCGATAAGCAGAATCAAGATACTTGCTTGCTAAAGGCGCCTAATCAATAGAATGATTGTTATTCATTTAACAATAAACAATCTTGACACAAGGCTGAAGGGGAAGTGGGGAGGGGCTGGTCAACATTAACTCATCAGACTTATGACCCATTCATTCATTACAATTTCCTCATTTACCACAAGAACTCACCCATCACCCAATCATGTGCCATAATACAACATATTCACAGGGAACTTACAAACACACCCATGATATAAAAATTTCATAATATAAAAGTGTATTTTTTTACAAAAATAAATCAAAATGTAATGAGATGAAATGAGTGGGGAGTGGATGAACCCGGAAACGAAACTAAAATACAACAAAAACATTCAGACTAAAAATAAGAGCAACTGCTGTATTCCAATAAGCAGAATTAAGAAGCCCAATCACTGGAAGGACTGCAAAAAGCATCCCCCCCAACTCCCTAAATTTATAGACAAAACAGGTGCATGCTGGGATTTCTTCCTAGCCAATAAGATAATCAACTTCTCGGTCTTATCCGTCATATTTCTGTTCTTTTTTGTCTTGCTGCGATCACTTGTCTGTATCCCTTTTGTGTGTTAATACCATTCTTAGTTTGGGAATATTTTTGCTGTATAAACCCAATTTTGCCTATTTTTTCATGCATATATTGTTTGCTTTGTATTATTTTTGCTGTTTTTTTCTTTCTCTCATCATTGTTTATTGCAAACTTTGTCAATTCTGTGTGTTGGGCATTTCTGCCAATTACGTTTAATAATGGCCAATTATTCTACAGGCTATGGGCCCAGAAATAGACAGTTTCAATGTGATGAATCCAAATATGAACTATGGGAAGTAAACCTTTTAGAGAATTCTGAAAATGACACAAAATCGTCTTGGCATGATCCTGATAAAATCCAAAGAAGAATCTGCAATATTATTGGTTCTGATCTGGCATCTTGGCTTTAGTTTCTTTCCCACTGTCATAACATAGCTTCCCTCTGCCTTTTCTTATCCACCATATTTCTGTTCTTTCTTGTCTTGAAGTCAGAATGTTGCAATCACTTGTCTGTATTACATTTATATATTAACACCATTCTTAGATAACTTTTTGCTTTATTACTGTTACTTTACCTACTTTTGTCTTGCATAGATTGTTTGCTTAGTATTATTTCTACTCTATTCTTTTCTTTCTTTTGTTATTGTTGATTACAAACTTTGTCAATTCTTTTTGTTGGGCATTTCTTCCAATTCTATATAACTATGGCCAAATATTTCAACTGTCAAATTTTGAAAATAAAAAAAAAACAATAAAATTCACATATAGGACAACCCAAAAGATGTATGCTTTACCAATCTACTTTTTGAGGATGTTGATCCAAAACAATAAGACCTGACTCTAAATAGTTACAAGGATAACAATACAATGTTGAGTCTATGAGATAAATGCTCTTTAAGGATGTTGATTCAAAACAATGAGACCTGACTCTAAATAGTTCCAAGGATAACAATACAATGTTGAGTCTATGAGATAAATGCTCTTTAAGGATGTTGATCCAAAAAAATGAGACCTGACTCTAAATAGTTCCAAGGATAACAATACAATGTTGAGTCTATGAGATAAATGCTCTTTAAGGATGTTGATCCAAAAAAATGAGACCTGACTCTAAATAGTTACAAGGATAACAATACAATGTTGAGTCTATGAGATAAATGTTCTTTAACTTTGGGAAGGGACATTAATAAACCAAATTTTCAGATGATCCATTCTTCAGAAAATAAAGGAATTGTCTCTCAGGAAAACAATAAATATGATAGAAAATGTTTATTTGATTTAAAAATTGTTGATTCCAATTAGTAGGAAAGACTTTAAAAACATACCCCTACCCAAATTTATAGATAAAATATACAGATGCATGCTGGGATTTCTTCCAAGCCAATAAGATAGGCCATTTCTTGGCTGCGATCACTTGTCTGTATTCACTTTGTGCGTTAATACCATTCTTAGTTTGGGAACATTTTGTCTCATTACTGTTGCTTTCCCTACTTTTTTTTTCCATATACCGTTTACTTCGTATTATTTTTACCGTTCTTTTCCTTCTCTTGTTATTTTTTATTGTAGACCTTGTCAATTCTGTGTGTTGGGCATTTCTGACAATTACGTTTAACCACAGCCAGTTACTCTACACTAGAATTCTTTTAATGTTTCTGATTATTACACGAATAACCAGAAAACAATTATTTCATTTCTTTTGTAATTTTCTTATCCTGTAGTTCACTCAATACGAGGCTCAAGAGCAACCCAAGGCAGAGGGTTATAGAATGAGGCTATTCAACCTGCTTCGTCATCCTGCCAACAATACCCATGTTTGTTTGCAGATCATCTGGACCAGTGATTCTCAACTTGGGCCCTTAGAAAGATTTTAAATGGGCCTAGAGACACCAGGAGCAGTGTAGTTATTAGTCAGGATTTTGTGTTTGGAATTTCTACCAATTACATTTAATCATGGCCAGTTACTCTACAGATTTTTCTTTTTTAAGTTTTTTCAAGGAAAATGCTGCAGGATATGGATATGAGTCTTATATACACTTAAAATACGGTATATTTTAATATATTTTATATATGGTATATTATTATATATATCTCATTATATACATTTTAAATATGGTATATTTTTATATATTTTATATATGGTATATTCTTATAGATATTCTTATATACACTTAAATATGGTATATTTTTATATATTTTATATATGGTATATTCTTATATATATTCTTATATACACTTAAATACGTGTATATTTTTATATATTTTATATATGGTATATTATTATATATATTCTTATATGCACTTAAATATGGTATATTTTTTATATATTTCATATATGGTATATTCTTATATATATTCTTATATACAGTTAAATATGGTATATTTTTATATATTTTATATATTGTATATTCTTATATATATTCTTATATGCACTTAAATAGGGTATATTTTTTATATATTTTATATATTTTATATATGGTATATTATTATATATATTCTTATATACACTTAAATAGCGGTATATTTTTATATATTTTATATATGGTATGTTATTATATATATTATATAAATATATAAAAATATAAATTATGTTTTATATATATATATAATATATATATAAATATATAAAAATATACATATTAAGTGTGTATATATGGTATATTCTTATATATATTCTTATATGCACTTAAATACGGTATATTTTACATATTTTATATAAAGTATATTATTATATATATTCTTATATACATTTAAATATGATATATATTTATATATTTTATATATGGTATATTCTTATATATATTCTTATATGCATTAAATATGGTATATTTTATATATTTTATATATGGTATATTTTTATATATATTCTTATATGCACTTAAATATGGTATATTTTATATATGGTATATTCTTATATGCACTTAAATATGGTATATTTTATATATAGTATATTCTTATATATATATCATTATATACACTTAAATATGATATATATTTATATATTTTATATATGGTATATTCTTATATATATTCTTATATGCATTAAATATGGTAAATTTTTATATATTTTATATATGGTATATTATTATATATATTCATATATACACTTAAATATGGTATATTTTTATAATATTTTATATATGGTATATTCTTATATATATTCTTATATGCACTTAAATATGGTATATTTTATATATGGTATATATGGTATATTCTTATATATATTCTTATATAGACTTAAATATGGTATATTTTTATGTATTTTATATATTTTATATATGGTATATTGTTATATATATTCTTATATACACTTAAATATGGTATATTTTATATATTTTATATATGGTATATTCTTATATATATTCTTATATGCACTTAAATATGGTATATTTTATATATGTTATATATGGTATATTCTTATATATATTCTTATATAGACTTAATTACGGTATATTTTACATATTTTATATATGGTATATTCTTATATATATTCTTATATACACTTAAATACGGTATATTTGATATATTTTTATATATGGTATATTCTTATATATATTCTTATATAGACTTAAATACGGTATATTTTTATATTTTATATATGGTATATTCTTATATATATTCTTATATACACTTAAATACGGTATATTTTTTTATATTTTATATATGGTATATTCTTATATATATTCTTATATGCACTTAAATATGGTATATTTTTATATATTTTATATATTGTATATTCTTATATATATTCTTATATGCACTTAAATATGGTATATTTTATATATTTTATATATGGTATATTTTTTATATATTCTTATATGCACTTAAATATGGTATATTTTTATATATATTCTTATATGCACTTAAATATGGTATGTTTTTATATATTTTATATGGTATATTCTTATATACACTTAAATACTGTATATTTTTATATATTTTATATATGGTATATTCTTATATATATTCTTATATGCACTTAAATATGGTATATTTTTTATATATTTTATATATGCTATATTCTTATGTATATTCTTATATAGACTTAAATATGGTATATTGTCTTTTTTCATATTTCTAAAAAAAACTTTTTTTCTTAATATTTTTCCTCTTTTTTTTTTTTCCAGGAACTTTCCCAGAAATTGTCAGAGCCAGCACTGTTTTTGAACTGTTTGTGGGAGCGCCCTGAAGAACACCCTCCACCCACCTCTTTTTCTTGAACGTCTTTGAATGATCTCTGTGGGCATACAGGACACCTTGTGGTGGTGGTGGTGGATGTAGGTAGGTAGGAAGCGTCTTCCCCCAAGATTCACTAGAGTGCTGTTGGTGGTAGTGGTGGTTGTGGTGAAAACAAAAAATACTTCCTGACTCTGCAGTAGTCCCAGCTTCACCATTGGTAAGAAAACGGAAGACATGCAGCCCGGGCAAATGACTCCGAAGAAACGCAAACGGGTGCACTCGTGTTCAATATGTGGTGGTTCGTACAGCACACCGTCACAACTTCAGCGTCACTCGCGGGTGCACAGTGGCGAGAGACCTTACGTATGTAATTTATGCGGGCGCCGTTTCACACGTTCCGATCATGTCAAACAGCATCTCAAGATTCACTCCCCCCACCGACAAAAGAACATGTGCCGCATTTGCGGGTCGCAGTTTTACAAATCGCAAATCCTCGGTAGCCATCTGCGACGCCACGACGTCTACCAGATCCACCTGTGTCACCAGTGCGGGGAAGGCTTTCAGGAGGCGGAAGAGCTCGAAAAACACGAGCGATTGCATAACATCAAGACGGACATCCGGCCTAGCGGCGAGGGTACAGACGGGGTCCCCAGCACAAGCTCCGAGGCACAAGAAGGCGAGGGTAATTGGCTGGGTTGTGCCCGCTTCTGCCTCGCCCAGATACCCTCAATCAGCAACAAAATCCTGCAGACTCCAAATCGTAAGAACGAAAACAGCTGTGAGGAAAATGCCGACGCCATCGAGAGCGCGACGCCGGAGTTTAATAACATTGAGATTACCCCTAAAGCTAGTCCCGAAGAAAACAGCGAGTCCCCCCAGATATCGGTCTCTCCCGGGTACTCTCTGGTCACTACAGCATCAGAAGTACCAGAAGAAAATGCGCCAGCAGAGGCCATCACCAGCAGTTCCAACTCTACAATTTTCATGGTGGCCACACCCCCGAATAACGTTGAGAATGAGACAGTAGTCAAGACGACGTCCACTTCCACCTCTCACGCCACAACCACCAGTCGAAGTGCTTCTCGCAAGGCCGGCAGACCTCTGAAAGCGGTCATAAAACGTGAGCCGGTCGTCACTACCACGACTGCACCGACATCAGTAAATGATGTCCGTGCCCCGCGGTGCACTATCAGTTTGCTAGCTGCTAGCAGGACGAGTGTGACTCGGGCTGAAGTATGCACTCGCAGGTCCATTTCGTCAACCACTCCAACTGTAGCTTCCAATGCCGTTGTCCTAACCACACCCAAGGAGACAACGACAACCACCACTAGCCCTTCGTCAATGGGAACACCACCATTCCTACTGAATGGTAAACGCCTTGGCCGATGTGAATACTGCGGTATTTGGTTTGAGGACTATGCCATGTGTATGCTGCACAACAGTCTGCACTCTGCTGACGATGCTGACCCCTTTACCTGTCGGAAATGCTTGAAAAAACTCGGAAATCGGCTTGAGTTTATGGCTCATTTAGTCTGGCACTTAGACCCAGAATTACCGTAAATGAATTTGAGTCTGGCATTTCCAGAATCGGAATTTACCAAAAGAAGAATTTACCAAAAGAGCGAAACTTAGAAGACAATCAACAGGACATGACGTGTTTGTTTAAAACTGTGGACATTCAGTTTATTCCAACCACATTCAGCATCTTGACCTCTCCCTGTCTATATACCCACATCCGATTCCTCGAACGTGTCCTGCTTTATGCTTGTATAAGTTACTGTTTGAAAACTTCAGTTTCTCGGAAAAAAAACACTTAGCAAGAAAGAAGGGAAAAAAAAATCCGACAAAATTTTTCAGCATACCAATCTCTCACAGAAACTTTGTCTTCGATTGTTTCCTGTTCACAAAGTTGTGGTTGTTTACCTGTTTTATACTTTCTCTTTTTTTTCTGGAAGAAGTACCAGTTGTGTTAGAAAGAAAACGAGAAAGAATTCTTATTCCAGCAAATCTGCTGTTAATATTTCTGGTCTATCCTGTTTGTTCTAAATTATATTGCTGTGAATATGGCTATTCCAGCCATTAATTTTATTTTATTTCATTTTTTTTTCTTTTTGTTGTTTCAAAAAAGATATATTTCAATTTTATATATTTTTACATATATATATATATATATATATATATATATATATATATATATATATACATATATATATATATATATATATATATATATATATATATATATATATATATATATATATATATATATATATATATATATATATATATATATATATATATATATATATATATATATATATATATATATATATACATATATATATATATATATATATATATATATATATATATATATACATATATATATATATATATATATATATATATATATATATATATATACATATATATATATATATATATATATATATATATATATATATACATATATATATATATATATATATATATATATATATATATATATATATATATATATATATATATATATATATATATATATATATATATATATATATATATATATATATATATATATATATATATATATATATATATATATATATATATATATATATATATATATATATATATATATATATATATATATATATATATATATATATATATATATATATATATATATATATATATATATATATATATATATACACATATATATATATATATATATATATATATTAAATATTTCCTTAAAAATCAACCTTTAAATCCCCTCAAAAATTGGGGAGGGGGATCATCTCCTATTACAATTCTAAAAAAAGAAATCCCAAATTCTAAGTGATATTTGTCGATAGGCTAACCTCAGCCTTGGTGTGATAGCCAATAACGTATGTGAAAAGATACAGATTATCAAATAAACTGATAATAAAAGTAATAAAACCTTTTCTATTTTATATTTTTACTGGCATAACTTCATAATAAATTGCCTATTCGAAGAATAATTCAATATCAATAAAATCAACTTGTATCCATACACATTGACTTATGATTGCATTCACAGCAATGGACTGTGCTATTATCATACTGTTATTAGCGGTATTTTGTGGTTTTCAATTAAGTATAAGTAAATGGCCATTAGTACACCAGGCTGTTTGTAACTTTTTAAATATAGGAAAAGAAGGAAGAAGAAGAATCTGATTTCACAAAAGATTTTGCGATGTAACGTAAACAAAACTATGGTCCTTTTAGAGGATGTGTGTAGGAAAAACACAATAGAGAATTGGTTTTTTTATTTAGCTTATTTTGAATTTCTAAGGATACAGTAAATAACATTTCTAATAACGTCATCTTTATATAATCAATAAGCTTATACTACTGATACATGAAAGTTTGCTGTATTTTTTTAACTTATCTGAAGGTTGGCTTATACACGGAAATGTACGGTGTATATATATATATATATATATATATATATATATATATCTTGCTTTCTCTACCCCTTTCTTTACTTTCTTATTTCTTTAATTCCCAAAATTAGAAACCCTTCAATCAGCACTTATATTGGAGTGGGATTCACAATTCTTAGATGACAATTTTAATTGATGCTGTTTGGGAAATACGTATAAAGACATGAATGTCTTGTTTGAGGTGAGGGCTTACTTGCAAGTTGCAATTTTTTGTTTTTTTTTTTGTTTTATTTCAAATTTTATTAAGAAAAAAATAATTTTGGGGCCAGTACTTCTTTGGCAGAACATCAAAGATATATTTTATATATTAATCTCTTCCTTCACCCTATGTTATTTTGAAGGCCTGCTTAATTTATTTAATTTAATTTGATTTTATGAGTGAAAATACTACCTCTGTCCCATAATGATTGCTACATATAGTGTATGAAATGTGTATGCAAATGTAACATTTGTTACGGGACAGATAGTGAATATGCTACCTCTGTCCCATAATGATTGCTACATATAGTGTATGAAATCTTTATGCAAATGTAACAATTATTATGGGACAGAGCAACCTGGAAATTTAGAAATGTTTTTGATTATTATTTGACCTTCCAGTTGGGAAAGCAAATCAAAATTGAAAAATATTAAAGTGGAAAATATCTTTTTGTGAATAAATTGCGAAAATGGCTTCACTCGGAAAGAAGTCCACGATGGCACCTAGATTAATTGAAATGCTTTTCGTATTATCCCTTCCTAAGATTTAAAATCCAAGTTGAAAATCAAATTCTTGGCAGAAAGTGATGAATTAAGATTTTTGCTTATTAATCCTCTTTTTTTTTCTTTTTTTTTTTTAAGTATTCCACACTTTATTTACAAAAACTGCTTGCCTTACAAGCAAAGCATTATCCTCCAGGTATACACTGGTTGAATATGTTTTTGTTTGGTTGGGTTTTTTTTTTTCGAAACACACTTTGTTATAATGATAATAATAATAATAAGAAGAATTATTATGTTGTAATGGGAATTCTGTCCTTGGGGCATGATGTCAACAAGACTTTTAACAACCTAAGAATTTTCAGAGAATCCTCGAAGAGTAAATGACGGCAGTTTTCTGGAGGCCTATAATCTTGATGTCAATTTCAGTACTCTTTCTGTTTTTCTAGTTGACGTTCCAAGTGCACCCATTACTACAGGAATTACTTCTACATTAGCTGCTTCAACTCTCTAGATAAATCTTGGTGGTTTTTTTTGTTTTTTTTTATCTTTTCAGAGTTTGTATTACATATGGAAGAGCAAAGTCAATAATTTGACATTTTCTTTTCTTCTTATAAGCTCAGCTCTTCATGATCTATCTGGGCTGAGAAATCCCATATCTTGTGACTATCATTTTCTACTATTGCCTTTGGCTGATGTTCATACGATTACTCTTTGACACTGAAGCCAAATTAATGGCATACTCCTCAATGGATACTCCCCCTAATCCGGTCATGTTGTTACTTATACTCCTTCTGGGCCAACTTCGGACATTCAGTGTGTATGTGGTTAAGTGACAAACTTCCCACTTAAAGCAGATGGAGTAGTTATTATTATTATTATTATTATTATTATGTACATACTGCTTATCCTGCTGTTAAAGACACAATTTTGTTTATTCTAAAAATGAATCTGTAATGTTAATGCTGCATCCTGTAGACCACGATGATAACATTGTTTTTATTATTATTATTATTATAATATATTTTCTTTATTCTTCAGAAATTTTACAGGGAAAATAGGAGTCTGTCCTTCAGCATCCTCAATGCTGGTGAATACGGTATATTCTTGTTTCAAATTTAAAAATTTGATGATGAGGTTTCCTTCTTAAACATATAATGGTTATCAATACATTTGGTTAGAATTTCTGCTGTGTGTGTGTGTGTGTGTGTGTATATATATATATATATATATATAAATTAATACACAATAAAATCCCAAATCACCTCATATAGGGAATAAGATTATTTCCTACATGAGGTCATTTGAGATTTTATCATGTATTAATCATTTGCTCAGTAATAATAAATCCATTGAACTCTTTTTGTGGAACAGTTTTAATATTTTTTATTAGTAGGATACACTTGGATTATATACCAACAGATTTTTTTACCTTTACTATATATATATATATATATATATATATATATATATATATATATATATATATATTTAAAATAATAAGAAAGAACAGTGATATTTATAAATCAGAGTTCTTAGCTTTTATTTTTATTTAAAAAAAAAACTGCTCAATACGATCCATAGAGCATAATATTATAATTATAATTTTTTTTTCTTTTTAAATATGATTCCATCATGACACAGAATATCCTATGTTTCAAAATGGAAAACTTCAAATTTAGATTAATTTTAAAATCTAATCTACAATACGGGGCTTAATCTAGATTTGCAGTTTTCCATTTTGAAACATAGGATGTTCTGTGTTGCATTGGAATCATATTTAAAAACAAAATAATTATAATATATATATATATATATATATATAAGTGGACACTGTCAACACCAAACAGTGACAGTTATTTTCATACTTGAATGCAATCTTCAGGGAAAAATATAAATAAAATTTTTAAAAAAGTACTAAAAAAGACAATATACAATTTTTAACAGTATATAAGATTCCTGTCCCTATCCTGCAAAAATTTTCCCCCCCAAAAAAAGATTAAAAAAAAAAAATCTAACCCTGTACACATCTATCCATCTAATTATCTAATGGTTATTGGGTAGGCGATAACAGTTATATTTGAAATATAACTGTTACTGTTTCAAATATAACCATTACTGCCTACCTAGTAACCGTTAAGATAATACAATAGACCTTGCTAAACATAATGCACTATTACCCAGCATATATAAATAATCCAGCTAACACACAGTATATATGACTCATTATGTATAAGCATGAAACAGACTGTCATCACTTGGTGTTTACTCCAGTGTTCACGTTTATATTTACATAGACTCTATCTCTGATATTGAGCATGCTTACCCATAAACATAGTATACCTTTATATATATATATATATATATGAGAGAGAGAGAGAGAGAATA